ATATTCAAAACATTATTTCACTCTTCGATCGATAAATCACGTTTGACGGCTAAAAAAGACTTCGCGATTAAACTACGTTACTTTTTTAAATTTACTCCGAACCTTTTGAATAGAAGGATTCACAGGGAGAGAGCCCCGCTAAGCGAAGCTTGTTGCGGTAACCCTGCCCTCTACCCTCCGATCGCGCAATGCCGGTTCTATGGCAGAATTTGGAGTCCAAAGTTTCAAGTGCGCACAGAGCCGCTTGGCTACGGGCTACGGCCTGCCATAAACCGTCATATCTGTAAGGAGGCCCATTAACCCGCGCCGCCGAAACGGCCCCCCCTGTCCTTTTCGGTCGATATCTCCTAAACGGCTGGAGATATCGCCACCAAACTTTCAGGACCCCTCCGGGCATCAATTTTACACATTGTGACCAAAAATTTTTCCAGAGGCTATGATAGGTTGGCCACACATGACGTCAGAGTGACGTCATGTTCTGTCATTTTCGACCGAAAAAAGACCTTCGCGAGAAGACCTATCAGGACTACAGCTTTGAAGATACAGAAAAATGATCAAGACATAAAAGGTGTAGAATTGACAGGGCTACAAAACTGCTATCTCGAATTTTTGAAATTTATGAGTTTTGACCCCCAAAAATCAAAAAAAGCATTTTTTTTATATATTCGCCAAAAAATCCAAAAAGTTTTTTGAATTTCGAAAAAACCGGAATATATGTGATAGTGCCTACCGTCTTCTATCTACATACCAAATTTCAGATCGATACCTCGTTTTTTGGCCAAGTTATAGCGAAAAAACTGTTCAAAAATGATGACGTCAAATTTTCAAACTCAATTTTTGGCAATTCTAGAACTCGTAGAGCAAAACGAAGACCTCCATTAGACTCCCCGTGACGAGCTGCATCGAATCGATACCCATTTTATGCAAAAATATCAACTTTGAAATTTGACCTAATTTGACCTGACATTGACCTGACCTTCACAAAAACGTGACCTAGGCTGGCCCCAAAGGCTGCCTAACCCACATAATCGCATTTGTCATGTAAAATGGACCATAAAACATGTATCACACGACACATTCATATTGTGACCCCCGGTGACCTGACCTCGCTGTGACCTGACCTAGTATCAGTGACCTCAGATAGCAAGGTATGTGTTTGACGAACAATGTACCATCGATGGTTTTCAATAAATTACCAATTTACTCGCTTTCACAGCACATTTCTTGAATTGCCTGTGAACGGTGAAAATCTGACCTTTGACCTGACCTGTGACATCATCGGTTTGACCTAGGTCAATGAAATTTGGTCACAAGGTAGTTCCCGGGTGGGGCTATCGAACGCCGTTTGAATTTTGAAAATCGTCCGGTAATTTCCGAGATCTTAGGGGGGGGCCGAAACGGCCCCCCCCCCCTACGGGTGGTAGGGTCCGCCGGTAGCCCTACGGGGCGCGGGTTAAACGTCAATCGCCCGTCGCGCTTCGAACCCGGACTGTTAAACCGGAAACGCGTGCTCTCACCACGCGGAGTCCAACGCTCTACCGACTGAGCTACGGGACCGGCAAATAGGTACTTATAGAGCCATTAATACTTTTTAAAATGGACATGGAATACACAACTTCAAGACAAGAAGCGGGCAGTATGCAAACTGCCCAGTTTTTGGGCGGTATGCATACTGCCCAAGGGGTCGGGTAGTATGCATACTACCCGGGCGCTATGCATACTGCCCGGACTGTTGGGTAGTTTGCATACTGCCCGGGTAGTTTGCATACTGCCCAAGTTAGCATATGACCCGTAACATATACAACACATGGTACGGCACCCGGCCCTGTCTGAGCTATGAGCCGATCGCGATATTTTCGGCTTTCCCCAACCCAAGCTCGATTAGGAACGTTCTCCTTCCCCACCCGATTGCTGATGTCAATTCAAATTCAATACCTCATCTCTGTCGGCCCGACCATAACCCATTCATTGCACACCGTTCAGCGCCCCGCCCCGCCAGAAGTATCCTAGCGCGCTGAGCAGTTGCCTCCAGCCGCGTCATCGCGAGGCCCCGCGCGGCCCATAAATTAATACATTGCGCGAATAGCCGTGTCGCCCCCCTGATAAGGTCGATGTTTGGAAATTGGGAGGGGCTCAGCTATTTTCGACCACGGATATGGCTTTATCACATAATGAGGAACATGCTGATAAGCGTTTAATGTGTCATAACAGCATCCAAGTATTTTTAATCATTTTTCAAAAATAGCCGTTCTGCCGTATCTTTCAGTGCAAGGTGCCGTCGGTCATCCCCGACGTTACGTCACGCCGGGGATTGCCAGATTTTCCTACTAGACTTCGACGCCCCCTGTTCCACCCCATCAAGCACCACTACCGATACGCGCACGCACCCGATCGATACTACCAGGCCCATGTCACTCCACTTTTGATGACATCATATGGGGGCCTCAGGACAATAATGGCGAGGCGCGCCACAATCGCTTCAAAGCTACTTGCCAACAGTTGCCATTTTTGAAAATATTATTTTGAAATAAAGTTCCAAGTAATAAAAATATTGTATTAAAGTTGTTGAATAAATCGATACCATATCTAAAAACTTACTGAAAAATGATTTATTCATAGTAAAAATATAAGCTCGATGCGTTTTTACGTTGCTTTCCTGCAACTGCAGAGGGTTTTTAAATCGTCTATCTTCAAAACCGGCCATTTCTTAGCATATTGCTGCTCTTTTTTATCGCTAGAAAATTAGTTTGACTTTCCACTGACATCAATGGTTGAGCGATATAAGTTGAGTGTCACCAACAATCTTCAAATGAAGTTAGTCATTTTTACGTTGTAAAGGAATGGAGTACCTACCCCTTTCGAGCATCAGGGGTGACGTCACTCAGGATCTGTCTCTGATTGGTCGGCGGGGGAGTGACTGTACCTTCTATAGATGGCCTTGGATACTACCTCCCAGCAGACCTGACAGTAGCCGCGATGCACCATGACTATATGGGGCGTCACGAGGAGACTCCCTGCTCATTCAAAACCTACCGACGAAGTAGTTCAAAGCATGAACATCGGCTTCACTCGGCTGGCCGGCGAAGAGTGTAGCAAGTGCTCGCTGCAGCTGCAGCACTCCGCGGACGATCATGCAGTGCGTGAATCAGAGCCGCGACACCATGCTGAGGGATGCCAGCAGTGCGATCAGCACCAGAAGCACATCGCCGATGCTACTAAAGCCCTTGTTACACTGCCGAATTTTGGTACACGAATGTGCACGAATATGCAAGTCATCCTATGTCGCGGACCGATTCGGGATCTTTCTTCCACGGTCTTGGCATTTCGCAGACCAGTCGGTGCCCACCGCGCGACTTTTACGGTTCGTCACGACCGCCACGAATATTTCATGAAAAATGAAAATTTCGTGGCCGTTCGCCGAACTTATAATAAACGAACATGATCGCCAAACACTCGCCGAGTCACCGCCGACATGTCGCTACGTGCGCCGACTTGTTGCCAAGGTATCGCCGACTATTCGCAACAGATTCGCCATTCATTCGCGATGTTCGCCGAATCATGGATCAGCTTCGACCCGCGCACGATTAGGGGGGGGGGCCCCCACCCGTTGTCTGCAAATCGGGCTCTGTCGGCGAACTGTTCGCCTCTGTCGGTGAACTGTTCGCCGATTTCCTACACGACGTGATTCGGCGACAGGGTCGTGGCCAAAATTCGGCAGTGTAACACGGCCTTAAGACTGCAAGGGAGCAGTATCGCGCTGACGCCGACAAAGACTGGGAAGAGGGGACGATATTCATTTCTGTAGATATGATAAAAGTCTTCATGCTTCCGCAAATCCCACTCAAGGACGCCATCTTCACCAGACGACTGTCATGTACAACGAAACATTCACACCAATCATCTCTTCAAGCAAGAACGCCAAAGCGCAGATAAAACAGAACCGTGTAAAGCACAGCACTTGCGTTCTCTGGCACGACGGAGAGGCAGGACGCGGGTGTGAGGAGGTATCGGCTTCCTTCCACCTGTACTTAAAGGGACTATCCCACCTTCTAAAATGTTGTTAAAACCAGTTAAATTGTGCCCGACTTTATAGATTGGATGACCAGGAACACGGTTCTGGCATTTATTTTTCATTAAACATCTTAGGCTTCCCGTATTCCAAACACAAACTTTCAAATATGTGACGTCACAGCCCAAAATTACCTAATTCCCCAGGCCACATTACTGTCATAAAGCTGATTCTTTGTACCTACTCTGTAGGCACCACAACAAAGCCCTTTACCGTCGGTGTGCCGGGACGTACGACACATAGTGATGTGGCTAGATAACTGCGCCGGACAAAATAAGTCGTGGACGCTGCTCTCCACTCTTCTAAAGGCTATCAACAGTCCTTCCACAAACACTCAGACCATCACGCTCAAATATCTGGAGCCGGGGCATACATCAATGTCTGCAGACGCCCTTCATCAGGTCATCTAAAAAACGTAAAAAACCTACGACCGGCTGGCCGCATGGAGGATTTAGAGGTTTTCAACGAAGCAACGACTGCAGCTGGCACAAAGACCATCCTCGTGCGGCCAGGTGCCAACATGGTGGCGACGGTCGATGGCGTGAGCCGCCACGCCCTCAAAATCTTGGCAGATGACGGGCAGCGCCCTTATCTGGCCAGCTTCAAAAGCATAAAAGTGAAGCGAGGGTCTGATGAGATCCTGACGAAAACGTCTCTTTTAGACCCGAACTGGACGGCATACAGCTTGATGAAGTCAACATTCCATGCTGACGAGGAACTTTGAACTGAGTGACTTCCCAGTCTCGAACGAGACCGGATCGAGGACATCTGCACGAAGTTAGTACCACACTTGGCTCCTCACAAGCGCCATTTCTGGATCAATTTGAGGAACAGAAGCGGTGGCGAGAACAAGAGGAGGCACACTATCGCAGCCGCGGAATGTGCAAAACGTCGGAAAGCGTGAAGCCATAAAGTCCGTTGTACACGGGCAACTCCCGTCGGCAATTCCCAGCAATCGGTTGCTCGGCAACAGCCTTTTCTGTTGCTCTGGGTTGCTGAAGTGCTGCCAAATGCTATTCAGGGTTGTTCAAAAATTGCCCAATATGTCGGCAACATCCGACGATCGCCGACGGTCGCGGAGCGTGACGTCACGATAATTATAACCAATGAACGAGCTGTTGCTCTCGATCGCCGAGAAGTTGAATATTTTGAACTTTCTGGCTGTCGCTGAGGTGTTGCTGGATGGTACTGCAGTACGAGCATGCAGCTATGGAGCAGCAAATAGGTAAGATATTTACAAAATACCGTCCTCTTTGCCGATTACTAGTCAGGATATATGAAAGGGATTTTTTCTGGTTGGATATTGGTCTCAATTTTGATTTATTGGTGGGGATCAGTGCCGGAGAAGCCGTGCGGGACCATCCCCCACCAGGCCCCATTAATTCCATTTCCTGGGGGGACCTGGGGGGCCTGATATATAACAAAAGTGGGCCCTTTTGACTTATGTTTTAAAGAAAATTAACCACTTGGGCATGTATTGGTGTAAACTTGGTGACTCTGTAAATTTTCAGCCCTGCTGCGGCTCCGTGAGCCCAATAAGGGCCTCTGCAAGTCGTACCAGGGCCCCTCCGTTATTGTCTATTTTGCCACCAAGTTCTTCATCACACATTAAAATTTGACAGAAAGGTGTTTGCTAGGCATAATTTCCTTCCAGACCAGACTGGAAAACATCCATACACTACACCGGATGCCGGTGAGACCCTGTTGCGCCGAAATTCGGCGCAAGCGATTTTGCGCTGAAATTTCTGTGTGATTTTCACCAAAAATTATGTGCCTATTTGTGCTAAAATTAAGCCCTTTTTATATAAAGCGCATGTCCACATCTGTCCGATCAAGGCTATATAAAGGCTATGGCGTCCGCCGCCATGCGCCGAATTCGGCGCATGCGAAGTTACGCAGGACAAATTTTGCGCTGAAATTTTCGCTGGACATATTCGGCACAATGTGTATTATTTCCAGTCTGGCTTCCAGACACCTATCTCCTATGTACAGCAAGTCATGGATAATGAAGGTAATATGATTTTGGGCCTTTTGAGACACTTGGGGGCCCTTTTCCTTCAGGGCCCCTGAAGGCCTAGTCCCCCCCCCCCCACCTCTGAAATCATTTCTCTAGCCATGGTAGGGAAGTGTGCTAGATCTGAAGCCCGTGAAGGATCTTACATCTTGCCAAGAAGCCTTTCAAACATTGATACATATTATTTGAATATGGATAATAAGTAGGTGGCAATTTTTGTTATGAATCATTCCTGATCAGTCTTGTGCCTGGCTTCTAGACAAACAAAAGCTAAAATCATGTTGACAGTGAAAACTGAAAGTAATTACCTTCAAGTGCTAAATTTCTGTGGAAGCAGTTATGCTTATGAATGCCTCCAAAGCATCTAAAAATTGTCTCATTTTGTCAGAGTCAAATAATCCAAGCTCTGCTCGGTCGCTGTTTTTATCAGCATGCCGTCGGTTTTTCCCATATGAGGAAGTTATTGCTGGCGCTTCTTGGCCTCTCATTGGTCAAATGAATAGGCCACGTGAATTTGATTAATGAGGATCCAAGAACCAGCAGCATGCTTGCAGCCTGCTGATAAAAAAACTGATTGAACAGCGCCCTGGAAAATTGCTCAGAATCTAGTCTGGATCCTGAGACCCTCCATGGTGGTCCATCCTGATTCTGGATTGTGTAGGATCTTCAGCCATTTTTGCAATGTTTCCGAAAATTGGGTGAGCAGAAATGCTTGTGCATTGGTTTGATTGCTTGCATTGCATTGGTTTGGAATGGTTATAGCTTGTAACATACCTATCACAGCTATCTTTGTTGAAGGACAAAACCACCGTACGGCAGGGACCACATCTACACCCAATACATAGCTCCATCTGTGTGCAACATTTGTAATATTTCATATGCAACTTTGGTATCTGCAAAAGTTGGTAGGCCCCATTTAATAAGTTTAAATGTAGCATTAAACCTCCATATATTACCCATATATTAACTTGGAACTGAATGAGAGTTCCTATTAGTACTTGGTTCAAAAATGATGTGGAGCTAAACCTACAACAAAAGCACTTAATTTGGCAATGGGATCTGAAAGCAGGCTGTCATAGGCAATAGCGGATCCAGGGGGCCGTGGGGGCCACATCTGGGTCAGGGTGCCCCCTGGGCCTCCTGGGGCACCATCCCGGAGGTCACCTCAACCTATAGGAGCTTTATTACAGAGGTAATGGGACATCATCTAGAAGGTGTGTTAGAATAGGGCACCATTTTTAGGTCTCCTGGAGGCACTATTTCTGTCCCTCAGGAGGTGGGGTGGGTAGGGGGTACTATTTCCAAGGTCTCCAGGGTCCCCGGTCCAGGGTCTCCACCTTCTAAAGTTGTCCTGGGGCACTATCCTGAGTTCTCTGAGGGCACCATCCTGAGGTCTGAGGGGGTACCATCTCAAGGGTCTGAGACACCATCCTGAGTCAGGGCGCACCATCACAAAGTCTGTCGGACATTATCCTGAGGTCTGAGGGGTAACCATCCCAAAGTCTCCAGGCTCACCATCCTGAGTTATCTGTGAGCAAGAACACTCAGATTGTTCACAAAATCTGTTTATTATGTCCACACATGACGTAGGATATGACATAATGTGGTGACCTGACATGACATCGACATGACCCCAAAATTTTCAGAGTAGTTGGAAAAGGATGGACGCATAGGTATACTTAATTTCAGCCAAATGTCTTTATGCCTTTGTGGGATGTGTGGAAAACATGAGGGTGCTTGCATCCTTGCATCCCCCACTTTGCCGGCGAGGGTTAAGCCACTTTGCGTCTGAGTACATATCACCTCAAGTGGGAGCCTGTTTTGACTGCCAATGGATTATGTATGCTGATTGTAATTTGATTGTACTTTTGCATGTGCAGTAAACCTTATTTTGTTATTGGGTAAGCTCTTGAACAACTAAAGCAATTGCATGTAGTTTACAACGATTGGTAATGGTGGGTGATGTCATTACCTACTGCATTTCTGCCTTCACCAAGTGACAAACTGACAGAATGTTAAAACAAATTTCATGTTTTCTCTACTGTAGTCCATCAAACTGGTTGTCAATGTCATCAGATTGTCATGCTCAAAATGATGTCGTAAATTGCATCTAGATATTACATCAGTCATAACTCAGAAGAGATGCGCCCCTAACCCCAATAAACAAGCACTGATGTAAGCATTGACCTGCATGTGCTTTGCCCACAGATACCCAGCAACTGATAGAGGAGGTGGAGCGGCGCCCTCTACTGTGGGATCTCAGTGTTCCACAGTACTCAAATAAAACAGTAAAAGATGGTGCTTGGCGTGCTGTCGGAGAGGCCTGTGGCTGTTCAGGTAGGCCCATGTTGCAATGGTCTAACAAGTATGTATTGCTGAGCTCTTTTTTAAGCTGTGAGTAAAGAAAATAGCCAACTTTACAACTGCGATATGGAAATCAAAACAATATTAATGCACTTGCAATGTAAATGTATGCATATCTAGTTCCTTGCTATCGTGGCTATTTAAACCAGCAAAGACAAGTGTATTGTGGATGGGCAAGGAAATGCATTGCACAAACTGAAAACTGATAAAAACGCATTAAGTTCGGCTACTTATCTTGTTAGTTGTCTACTGTGGAGATAACATTAATATATCTCATTCGCTGATATGTTGTATGAAAGGTTCAGACAATATTCAAATTAGAGTTGGGCACTCAGAAGTCATACCTACTGGAAAATCAGTTATCAGTTGATTGAATCTGTTTCTGTTGTAAAACTGTGCTCGTACTTACCAGTTTGCACAATGATCTATAATGTGATTTGTTTTACACTGTTGCAGGCGCCGCGGCGCAGGCGAGGTTCAAAAACCTGAGAACGGCGTACCAGAGGAGGAAGCAAAAGCTCCCTAGCGGGTCCGGGGCCCAGCAGACTCCCAGGAGGCCGCACCCGTACGACCTACCGTTTTTGGACAGGGTCAGGCGGCGCGCGGAGTAAGTTACACTACACTGTATTGTCATTGACAAATTGGCGACCTATGAGTATTTACCTAGCGTTCCGCGATGCTCATTGATTTAACCCGCGCATGACTGGGGTATTTTCCATAACGCGAGTGACTGACGAGGGGGGCTCTTCAGAGCCCCCCCCCCCCCCCTCCTATCTCCGAAACTAGGCGGGGCCGATCGTCAAAATTCAAACGCCATCTGATAGCCCTGCAAAAATTGTCGAGCGAAACCTATTTTCATTGACCTCAAGGTCACTGATGACCTCACAGGTCAGGTCAAAGTAAAAATTATCGGCATTTTTGCTTGTTCACAATTTAGGCTCTGGCTGCCGGCTGACAAGTCCGATCAGGATCATTTCTGGTTTACGCACTCCTTGATATATGCCTTAGATACCCTGAGGGTACCGAACCTTAACTGTGAATTTCCGACGAGCGACCGACGACGTCGACGGGCAGCTGGCCACCGAACTGGAGGAGATGCGGCGTGGGCGCACCCAGTTTGACCCCGAGTGTGTCCACTGGGGCAACATCATAATGAGCGAGATGCAGGCACTGGAGCGTGGGGGCGATGCCCGTCGGGAATTCCGCGGCAAGCTGGCGCGCCTTGTCGCCGAGCTTTACCAGTAGCTCTTGTGATCTGTGATGATGTGATGTAGACGCGCGTTTTTGTGATTGTTTTGTAGCTGTTTTGTTTTGTAGTTTTGCCATGAGCCTACTGCAGTCGGCTCATGGCAGCCATTGGTGCCACTGGTTACCTGTTGGTATTGTTACAACACCTGTTGTAAGGGTTACCTGTCGTTACAATACCTGTTGGTATTGTAAATGTAATAAAGTTCGCAAAATGTATGCTGTTGTTTTTGCCAGACGTTTTTGTCCACGACCACAAAAGAAAGATCAGTGGTGATAAGCATGTAATGACCAACTTTTTTAACATCAGTTCATCGTTCACATAATAAAATGAGCACATAACATAAATAAATCGCCAGTAGCTGGAGGCGTTGGTAGATGTGTGTCACGAATCGGACACCCGGTAAACCAGGGTATATTGAATCGGTAAAACGAACAGTCGGCTCGACGCTCAGCCAGGATCGAGCCGTCAGCGTCAACTCGACGCACAGCCAGATCCGCTCGAATAAGACGTTCAGTTCTTCGACATCTTCCGCGCAATCACGTGACACACCGCGACCAATGGGCGGGCGCGCCGAGTGTGCCTACCACACAATCGTCTGGACGGTAGGCTTTGGCCCGGCGGGCCCGCTGGCCGGCCGGGGAGCCGCCAGCGCGGCACAACGCGTAACAGCAAAAGACAATGAACAAATCATAACAGGTAGAGCTTGCGTATGAACTGGGCCCACAGTGCACACCGCCGTCACCACACGCCTCTCCATGCGACCCACGCACGGCGGCCACACCCACGACAGAAACACCCACGCCCGCGACAGCAGCACCCACAACAGATACACGAACGACAGTCACGCCCACCTCCAGCTTCACTGGTCAAGGCCAGCTGCAGCTCTCTGCCACGGGACGCTGCCGACGCCGTTCACATACGCGGTCAGGGCCTGGCGGACGCGGGCCGTCTCCCGCGAGTGATTGTTGGCGCCCATCCTACCGATGCCCCGCAGGGTGGGCGCGGCGTCACGCTCGGCGGGGACGGCTGCGTAGCTGCGGCTGACACTGTCGGCATCCACGTCTCGCTGGCGCAGGAGATTGTGCAAAGCACACGTTGCTTTCACCAGCAAGGCGGCTTTTTCTGGCGTGCAGCCCAAGCTCCCACGGTAGATTCGCCACTGTTGAGCCAGGATCCCGAAGGCGTTCTCGACGCAGCGGCGCGCACGACTCAGACGGTAGTTGAAGATGCGCCGCTGGTCCGCCTCCGATCCCACCAGCGACGCCCTCGCGTACGGCCGCATGAGGTGGCGCTGTAGCGGGAACGCCTCGTCTCCGACTAGGAAGTGGGGCAGCTCCTCGTCGGTGTTCGGCAGCGCCTTCGGTGGCGGCAGAACGTCGCCCACCTCCTGGTGTCGACGCAGCAGTGCGGCCAGATCGGAGTGGGCGAAAATGCCGCCATCACTTTCGCTGCCCTGGCTGCCGACACTGATGTAGGTGAACCTGTAGAACGAAAGTATTGTCAGCACGAGATTGACGCGGTGTCCAGTAGCATCGAGTAGGCTAATCAAAATGATCAGATTTGAAAACGGAGGCAGTGGGTGTTGACTGTTGTATGATAGAATATATCACCGTAATGATTCGCGAACAGGGCGCACGCAATCTTATAGGACCGTTATTGCTAGAAGATTCAGATTCAGATGTGTTCGAATAAGGTCCACAATTAACGTGGCTTTTCACTCATTCACGGAAGCGGCGGATATACGAGTATTATTCATGCTATCGTTACCTTACACCAATTATATACGTAATTGAATTCGAGATGGGCAACAATGCCAATACATGCAATTAGTTTGACATGATCGACCGGGTGGTCGTTAGACAGGGTCAGACTCAAAAGTCCAACGGGCGAGGGGGCGGATGTCACCGACAAGCATTCCCACAAAATCTTATAAACTTATTCAAACAAGCATTCCCACAAAATCTCGGAAACTTATTCAAAAAAGCATTCCCACAAAATATCGGAAACTTATTCAAAAAAGCATTCCCACAAAATATCGGAAACTTATTCAAAAAAGCATTCCCACAAAATATCGGAAACATTGCGACAAGGGTACGTGAGGTTTACAAGGCAACAAGTACGGTTTTCGTCCTTAGTCGAATTTCAGATGTAAGGATGATGACAATGCGACATTAAGTAAAATAATACGAGGTAAAATAATCCACTTCGAGATGCTAGCCTTCTGTCGGGCTCACCTGTATCTGGCGTCAGCTACGGCCATGAGCACGACGCTGCAAAAGCCCTTATAGTTGAAGTAAATTGAACCGGTGCCAGCTGGTTTCTGCAAGGCAACATGCTTGCCATCGAGCGCCCCGATGCAGTTTGGCAGTTGCCACAATTCCAAGAAGTCGTCAGCTGATGCATGCCAGTCGTTCAGCGTCGGGGAGCGCAGGCAGAGAGGGGCGAGCCGTTGGTATATGGCCTCGCACACCTCATATATTATCCCTGTCGCTGTGCGTGGGGCGATGCGATACGACTCCGCAATCGTTTTCATGGCGCCTCCAGCTGCCAGGTATCTGCAACGACAGGAATAGGTAGCTCAACAGTCAGCCGTTTCTAGTTTGATCGGCAACAAACGTCCCACCATTACCTGGTTCGGTTCAGGGCTTGACACTTTGACAGGTGTCAGTAGTTGACCTTAACCCGGCAGGCGGTGGGCCTCACGGTGAAAAAAAAAAAATAATGACCTGCTTCAAGTCCTCGCCATGGAACACTTTAAATGAAGCATTAAATATGCAAATGACCATTTTTGGTACGACAAATCAGCCTGAAACAGCAAAATTGCTTACCGCAAGGTTAGGGCCAGTCGCTCGTCAGGTGGGATGGGACGTCGCATGTTGGTGACTTCTTTAGCGATGTCGTCCCGCACGAGGCCCAGCAGATCATCAAACTCGGCTGGCGTCAGGCGCAGGTACTGCTGGTGGGCAGCTGGGTCACTACGCAGCTGGCTGACGAGGTGGCTGAACTCCCCGAGCTCGTCGCGAGCAGCCAGCACCGGCCGCACCCACATGCGGCGTCTTCTGCGCTGACGGAGCTTGATAAGCCGCAGAATCCTGATGCGCTGCAGACGAGCTTCAATGGCATCGTTATCTCCGTCCATGGCTGAAAGCAGACAGCAACTATTATGCGATGGACAAAAGGGCATGCTCATACTTGCAAGGTGGTCATAATGTTTGGATGTGTTTGGATGAGGTGGATCTTGATTTTTTCTTAATTTCAGAATTGTGCTATCATAAATTAACACATTCATATCTTCATATCAAATATGAAATCCAAAGAAATGCAATCACATGCATAGCTGCAGTTTAACTCTTTGACAATGTGATTTTATCCTTGTGTAAAATGATGTAAAGCCAACCATGTCTGATCTGCTCCAGTTTGTAAAACTGGTGCACCTTCTGATGCAGTTTTTCCTACCCTTTACCACCCCAAGAGCCAATTCCTACCATTTGCCTACTGACTGCTGTAGTGGATGAGGCTGACAAGGTTATTCATGAGTTGGAAAGATGCCAGTGCAAAAAAGTATCCATTGAATAATTGCTTATCTACAAATCTACAAATGCAAAACAATAGGAAGGAACATTGTCTCCAAGCCATGGCTCTATAGTCTATACACAAAGGACGTTAGGGTGCTGGAAACAGTGCAACGCAGGGCAACAAAGTTGGTTCAAGGCAAGAAGCAGGTGAGCTATGAGGAGAGACTGAACACTCTTGGACTGCTGAGTGTGGAGGAGAGCATGCAGCGAGGCGACCTGATTGAAACTTTAGAGCTGCTGTCAGGGAAGCTGGATGTAGAACCAGGTCAGTTTTTTGTCAGAAGTCAAAAGAAGAGGACACCAAAGCAAGCTGCAGGTTAAAGGCACAAAAACAGTTTTTCTCACAAAGGCTGGTAAAGGTGTGGAACAAGCCCCCTGCAGACATAGTTAAGGCACAGTCCACTGTCTTTCAAGAACAGACTGGATAAGTTCATGAAAACTTAAGTGCTATCCACTCTTTTCCAAATTATCCAGTGATGTAGAAACTAGAATGAGATGTGGACACTGAATAGACTGTTTACCCACAGTCCGCAATGCTATACGTATATCTATCAAACACGGAACAAAATCAAAGATTAACATGTTTTTGTAAATATATCACCATGGCGTCATCAGCATCTCTAAATAAAAACAAGATATGCCAAGATAAAAAGATCAGAAGATCAATCAGAAAAACAAAATTTGACAACAGTAATGCATAGTAATATCCTTATCTGGTTTAAATTAACAATATCTTGATCATCTAAAAACAATATATGGTAACAAGATAACAATTTCATATCATGTTTTAATCAGACATGACAATGACAGTAAATTTGCAGAAATATGTTCATCTTTGACTTTGTTCCATGTCTACCATGTCAATGTGGTTTAACGTCTGTTGGAAATGAGTGTGCATCAACTGTTCTTACGTATCTACATTAGCCAAGGCCAATGAAGGGAGCTGTATGACCCTTGAAAGCACCCATTCAATAAAGCAATAGCTTTGGACTAATTATGATTTTAGTAATTATCAACCCACCACAGATAAAACAACATGCAATGGCGTACTCCAACCTTTGATATTTGTTTTAACCTTTAATACCACGTTTTGGCGTTAAAAAGATAGTAGCATCACTAGCGAACGATGGCACAGGCAAGCTATCATTAATACATATCGATACATATATAATACGCAGAAAACTTTAATAGGTATCAAACGCCACAAACCTCAAAACACATCTGCGTCCGGTTGCCGGTGGGCTGGAATGCCGGTTGTCGAGAGTCGCCCAGTTCCTCGGCGTGACGTAATTATGACGTCAGCAATGTGAAAGCAAATTCATCGGTGTTGCTAGGAGTTGCTCGCGTGCTGCCACCGGTTGCCCGGCGATCGGTTGCCCAGAGTCGCCGAGCAACCGATTGCTGAGAGTTGCCGGCGGAAGTTGCCCGTGTACAACGGCCTTAAGCCCGTTGTACACGGGCAACTCCCGTCGGCAACTCCCAGCAATCGGTTGCTCGGCAACAGCCTTTTCTGTTGCTCTGGGTTGCTGAAGTGCTGCCAAATGCTCTTCAGGGTTGTTCAAAAATTGCCCAATATGTCGGCAACATCCGACGATCGCTGACGGTCGCTGAGCGTGACGTCACGATAATTATAACCAATGGACGAGCTGTTGCTCTCGATCGCCGAGAAGTTGAATATTTTGAACTTTCTGGCTGTTGCTGCGGTGTTGCTGGCCGCTTCTGCTGTGCGAGCATGCAGCTATGGAGCAGCAAATAGGTAAAATATTTACAAAATACCGTCCTCTTAGATTTTTCAATGCCAATTACTAGTCAGGATATCTGAAAGGGATTTTGATAGGTTGGATATTGGTCTCAATTCTGATTTATTGGTGGAGATCAGTGCCGGAGAAACCGTGGGGGACCGTCCCCCCGGGCCCCATTAATTCCATTTTCTGGGGGGACCTGGGGGCATAATATATAACGAAAGTGGGCCCTTTTTACTTATGTTGTAAAGAAAATTAACCACTTGGGCCTGTATTGGTGTTCTAAATCTCATTCCAAATATCGGAGCCCTATATCAGTGAGTAGATCTCAATAAGTCGGAGTTCACAGCAAGCTAGTGGGCCCAGTCTGAAGATTCCAGGACAAATCTTCGTATGACATTTCTTCGTCGCGCAATTCTTCGTCCGCAAATCTTCGTCGGCGCATTTATTCGTGTCCCATTATTTCGTCTCGCATTTCTTCGTAGGCGCAAATATTCGTAGCACATTTCTGCGCCCATGAAGGGAGCTGTATGACCCGCCCTAAAAACACCCATTCAATAAAACGGACTGATTATCATTTTAGTGATTATCAACCCATGCCACAGATAAACAACATACACAAGCGTACTCCAGCCTTTGATATTTGTTTAAACTTTTAATACCACGTTTTGGCGTTAAAAAGATAGTGGCATCACTAGCGAACGATGGCACAGGCAAGCTATCATTAGTACATATCGATACATATATAATATGCAGAAAACTTTAATATCCAACGCCACAAACCTCAAAACACATCTGCGTCCGGTTGCCGGTGGGCTCTGGAATGCCGGTTGTCGAGAGTCGCCCAGTTCCTCGGCGTGACGTAATTGTGACGTCAGCAATGTGAAAGCAAATTCATCGGTGTTGCTAGAAGTTGCTCGCATGCTGCCACCGATTGCTGGGCGATCGGTTGCCCAGGGTCGCCGAGCAACCGATTGCTGAGAGTTGCCGGCGGTAGTTGCCCGTGTACAACGGCCTTAAAGAGTGCAGGGTTAATGGCTGTTAAAGGGACCCTCCCACCTTCAAAAAAGTTAATGAATTGGCATGAAAGTGATGTCCCTTGGTTCAGAAAGAGCGAAAACGAATGTCTACCAAATTTCACCGAAAAATATTCACTGGTTTTCAAGATATTAGGCTTTTACTTTTGTTTACTTTTTGGGATCTCCCCTGTTACTAGCGACTTTATTTGGAAGCAATAATTTGGCAGCCTTAAAGTGCGGCAGACGTTGCGCGCAAAGCAGTGTATACCGCCACGTGTTAACGATGGTTTTAGTCTAAGATTTAAAAATCGTTAATCTCCGCTGACGTCACAAATTCTAAGGGGGCATTCCAATGCATTAGCCCCTTAGAATCCGAAAACTGCAAGTTTGAAATTCCATATCTTCGAATTAAAGCATTTTTCGATGTTGTGAGTACCCAAACCGGTATTTGCAGGCCATGGCCACCAATTTGGCTATCTCAACTCAAAACTAAAGGTGGGAGTGTCCCTTTAACTGAGTCTTGGATATTGCTTGGGTACTGGGTATTCAGCGGGCACTGTTCAATGGTTGTAGCTGTGATGTCGAATTCGTTGCAGTCTTGTTTCAATTAGGACAGCACATGCATTGGTTTTTTCAGTTTTTGTTTTATAATTGACTCGATCCGCTGTCCCGCAGGTCTTGGACGAGACGCCGTTGACCAATGACCAGACCTGTACAAAACGACAGCCATGACCGCCGCTGCCGCCATAAACAGATTATGCCATGGATGCGGCAGATCCTGTGCGCGTATGTGCATGTGTGTGTGGCGACACCGTTCCGCCGCCGAAGTCCAGTGAGCCATTCAATGTTCGATATACCGAATCAAGGCCCTAAATACCAAGGCCCTAAAACATAAGGTTGGACGAAGTTTTCTACCAAAAATGTACTAGAATAGCGTACGAGTCAAAGCTATTTCCGTTGTTTCTTTACAAATATGTCGCAAACAAGTTTTTTTCTGTAATAAATCATTATTTCGAAGTTGAGCAACCAGTTACTATAAATTCGATAAGCAAACACTTATTTTTTATATAAAAGCCTAGCTTATATAGTCCAACTCTAGTTGAATAATTAAGTAGCTACTAAATTTTCCAGTTGTGACACATATTGCGCACTTCAGAGAAATGCGTTGCTAAGGCGTTGCTAAGGACTCTTTCGCATGTTTTGCTGCGTGGTTTGTTTTTGTTATGAAGTGAGGGAAGTGAGATGAACAGGCTGTTTGATATTTTTTTCTGGTTTTCTAGGACCGTCGCAATTATTTAACTTGACATACTTTTCTTGCTTTTTTATCCGAGGCTTCTTCAATAATTAGTAGATTCTATCGTGGAAATAAAAGGGCCAGCAGGCCACAGGGGTACCTAAATGCAAGTCGACTGATAGTAAATTAAAAGGTAGAAGTGTCTGTTCCATTATAAATTTAATGTGATATGATGGAACATGAAGCAACAGGATCAGACGCAAGAACCACCAATAAAGAGCCCAGAACCAGCAAGCGCCATGCCATCAAGAGCAGCCATGATAACGTTTGATTAGCTTTCAGAAAACCTTGAAACTACGCCAGACGGTGAGCAATCAAGAGATCTTACAAGACCAGTAGTTACTTGAAAACGAGAGCCGCCAGGAAAATCAGCAGATTCTTCTATGGCGACACATTTCAACATCTATCTAGCAATGATTTGCACCAGCGAGGTGGCTATCATTGTGTTTTGTGTCTGTATCCCTAACTGCTCAAAAATATTTGTCAATAAATAAACAAACAAATAATGCGTCTTTTTCTATTAAAAGTAAGTCCAAGTGGCAAGGGATGAATAATAGCAGGTTTCTAATTAATTGCCATCTATTCATTCAATTCATAAATCATAGGCAATTCAGGGCATCGATCGGCAGCGCCCTTACTGCATGGTACTGCGGATCGTCCATGGGTTTCTTTATGACTCCGACTCTGACTCAGACTTTCAAAAATCAACTCGACTTTGATTTCAAATGTCGGCTCTGACCGACTCCGACTCCACAGCCCTAGCAGGTCTGCAGAGGCAATGGATTTTTGGTGACTCCGACTCCTCTTTGAAGACTCTGGCTTTCAAAATCGACTCTGACTCTGACTCTGGTCAGAACTGTCGACTCCGACCGACTACAACTCCAACTACGGAACCCTGAAAGGTCTGCGAAGGGGATCGAATTTCGGTGACTGACTCAGACTCCAGCTTTTAACCCTCTCCCTGCTGGGGGGGGGTGTTTGAACACCCCCCTTGTGTTTTTTCGCGAATATCTCAAAAACGGCGGCGCGGAGCGCCGCCGTTTTTGGTACACCTTATCATAAATCAATTCTACACATGTTGTAAAAATTTCAGACCAAGGTCATTCAAGGTCAGGTCACCAGGTCACTTGAAGTGACCTCACCTCATAAAAAGTTTCAATGTCTGCCATAGCTACACCGAGTGACTGATCGTTTTGAAACTTTCAGCGATTGCTGGGAGCAACAGCATGTACAAAATGTATATCTCAGAATTTTGATATCGATGACCTAAGGTCAGGTCAATTTTGCGACCTCCCCATTATAAGTCAATGGGAGAAAATTGAAATGCGCCTCTTTTGGACGAAAGACATTATAAACACTCCCAAACACCGAATTACAAGTGGTTTAGACACACTGAACATGAAAATGGTGTCCGTGACCCTTGTTTATGCCCTGAGGTCATCTTAGGTCGCGAATGGTATCTAACAGTTTTTCGCAAAAACTTTTGATAGAGGCATGCTAGAGCGATGAAAACACCTTAGATGTGTTCAGCTCGACGATACGGATCGACTGATATGCAGCATGACCCTTTCCGGTCAGGTCATGACCTTGACCTGAGGTCAAATTTTCAAGTTGACCTTTCAAGGTCAAGTTATAGTTCATTCGATGCGTCTTGACGAGAGGAATACGATGCCGGTAAAATTAAGCTCGTACAAGGCTTGGGTCAAAAGTTATTGCCGAAAAATTGTTTCCGAAAAATCGGTTATTTTTGCAGTTTTTGCCCCCTGCAGGCAAAACTGTTGACGTGAGGTCAAATCTGAGAGAATTGCTCAGAAAGGGCGTTAATAGGGCTATCGAATGCGCTTTTCTGCGGCGCTGTAGCTCTATTGGTTCCCGAGTTATGCGTTGGCTTCTTGGAAATTTTCGATATTCGACCTGGAAATCGGCGAAATTTTGCCTTCAATGACCTCTGGTGACCTGACCTTTGACCTGAGCAAAAAATCCACCGAAGTGATTTCGTCATTATTTTTTACGCTCTTTCGAACGCCGCCTTCCGCGTATCGCTACGTGGCCCAGGAGCCGAGTTACACGGGGGGGGGGGGGGGTTTCAAACACCCCCCCCCCTCAGCAGGGCGTGGAAATCCGGGACCCCCAGCCGGGCGCGGGTTAAAATAGACTCTGACTCCGACTCGACGACTCAGGTCAGAACTGTCAACTCCGACCGACTTCATGACTCCGACTCCGGAGCCCTACTGGCAGCTATCACGTCAGGGAGCTGCAAATCATATGTTCCGTGGCGGTTTATGGCATTAAAGTCGATAATGCGGCTGAATCGCACTATGAAACACCCTTATTGGCTGCAAGAACCA